CCCCCCCCCGGCACCGCCTGCAGTGGCCTCGCCCGCCTCGCCCGCCCGTCTCAACGGGTACAAGACGACGCCCGCGTGCCTCTGCTCGTCTGACAGCAAACGTGTTGCTCGTATCCAAGCCCTATATGTGCCCCCCTCCACAACGTCATTTGCTTTTTGTGCCGTCGTGTCGCCTCATCCCATCGCACCCAGCCCTAGTGTGCCGTTACACAAGCACTCAATCCAGACGTCGACTTGTCTTTTTTTCCACCCTGTCCACCCGTCCACCCGTCCATCGACTTACATACCGCCACATACCGCCTCAACTCGCTCTGTCTTTATCCGTCATTTCCGCCTGATTGTCTTCGCCTCATCTTCACCTCAACCCCCTGTGCTCTAGACCCGACTGCGCTCGCTGCGTTTGCGCCGGATCTCCGTACTGCTCAGCTTGCTCTCGAAAGATTCGTCCACGTTGTCTTCTTCGCTGGCATCGAGAACCGCAACCTCAAACACCTCGAGCGCCTCCCAGCCCTGCTGCTTGCGCTTTTCGTTGACTGCCGCACCCCCGCTCCTCGTTTCCAGCGAGAGCACCAGGGCGGTAATGTCCTTGTCCGTGATGGTCGGGCCAAAAGGATCCCATATCTCAACATATTTGATAGTGAGCCCAAAGGGATAGCTGACATGCACGGCATGGCCATTTGGCTCAGGCTCATTCAGTTCCTCGACACGAATCCGTTCGTCATCCGGAGATCCAAAGTAGACAAGGTGTGAGAGAAAGTTGTGTACCGATTCCTGGCGTTGCTTCCAGCTCTCCAGCTGGTCTGCATACTTTTTCTTCTGTAGCAGGGCATCGCCGGTGATTCCAACGGTAAGCACGCTGGGTTTCGACTCTGAAGTAGACGACTGCCGTCTCCCCAGCATGAATGCGAACATGGTTAGCAGCAGCTTGTGGCCAATGTGGAGATGATCAAAAGTTCCTCCAACAGCTACCGAGATGTGGTTCGTAGCTGCACTGGCCTGTTGGGAAGATGACTCTGGTGCCGAAGCGTCTACACTCACTAGTCCGCCTCGGACTTTGTTCACTGCGTATTGAGACTTGGCCAGAGATGTAAAGGCCTTCAGCACTTGCTCGCCCTGTTCGCTCTCGACTGAATAGACGACGTGCCATGGCCGAGGGCTGCGAGCTAGTGTGTGCATGTCGACGGCTGGCCCTTGGAGTTCCTGCTCTGGAGTAGCATCCGGCAGGGGCCCGGTCAGGTGACCGTCTCTTGGGTATGCCACCAGCACAATGCGGGCGTCGATGCCTTCCTCATCTTCTGTATCGATAGCATGCCTGCTTGTCGTGATGCAAACGAGTTTGTAGAGGTCAGCGACTAGCTGCTGCGTGATGGCGTAATACGGTCCCCGCGGCGCATCAAGATGTCCGTACAGATGCGGGCATGGCAAAGCAATTTCCAGGAGAGTCTGCCCCTGTGATTTAGACTGTGATGCTGCCAACTCTTTCAAAACGGTGCATATTGGGGCGTTGTATGCAGCCTTGAGTGCTGCATACGATGACGGAGCTGGTGCAGGCGGCAGCAACAACAGGGCACGGTGGACTGACTTGCGTGAGGGCGGCATGGTTTCAAAATGACGAGCAATCACTATGCGAACCAGAGGTGTGGTCGGAACAGAGACAGAGTTGAATGCAATACGTCTTGCGAGCAGAGGGAGCATCAATCGCGGGGGCTCTTATGCAATGTCCGTCCTCTTGCCCGCCCTGGACGTGAATGGGAGGGTTGGTTGGAGGGGTGGTGGGGAACATTTGCCGAGACAGAGCCGCCCAGGGACTCTACATACGCCAACCGCACATGTCGCTTTCCCAGACGACTCCACGCCGCAACCGTTGCACGTCACTTTGTTTTTCTTTTCCCTCTTGGTGAGCCAGCGCGGTAGGAATTGCAGGCGCCATGCCCTTCGGAAACCACCACCAGAATGCGCCCCTCGACCCAGCGCAGGGCATCTATGCCGCCGCTTCGGCGCTTGGGAGTATGTAGGCCTCCGGGGCACTCTACCTGAACACCAGCTGATAACCATCTCCCCCATCCGCAGGCATAGGAGCGCCTGGAGGCAATCTGCGCGCGGCAACCCAGGGCACCACACGGGCGGGCACCGATGCCTTTCTGCCAGGAAGCAGTGGCAATGCCCAAGCACCGGGCGAAGCGTACATGGCATCCACGGCACCGCCAGCTGCAAACTCGAGCTTCGATACGCCGCGACACAAAGTGCCCAGCATGGGAGGGCGCGCCCCCGAAGAGCACCATGTATCGGCAGCAGTAGGCCAGCATGCCTCAGTGCCCCCTCCAGCGACGTCGGGTCAGCAAATGTACAACCCGCCCGACACCTATCGGTCGGCGCCCAACATCAACCTTGACCATGGCACCCCCCAAAACAGCCAGTATGCTTCTCCCGCTGTGCCCGGCAGTCTTCAGCCTGCAAGCGGTGCGGCGTCGCAGCAACAGCAACAGCAGCAGCCACAGCAGCCACCGCAGCCACAACCGTCCCAGCAGCCGCAACAGCAACAACAGCGACCCGGCCCTACCACTTCTTACACTGCCCCCGTTGGGCCTCCCCAGACGCAGATAGCCACGAACGCTCAGCAGTACACGCTACCCACGCGCTCAAACACAATTAGCCAGTCCCAGCACTCCCCCCACTCGTCGCACTCGTACTCGCGCTCCAGCCCAGCCGGCCTGGGCCCTGACCAGAAATACATTCCTTTTTCCAATACCCCCGAGCAGCAGCAGCCCAAGTACGCCGCCGGCACGCCCGCGCAAAAGTACTATCCCACGACCCCTTCGGGCGCCGCATCCCAATCTCCCCTTGGCCTCGCGGATATTAGACCACGCGCAAACTCAAACATGGAGCCTGAGAATGCGGGCCACGGCAACCCAACCCTCGGCGACATGAACAAGGTGCCTTCCAACAGCAACTACCTCGCCCCCTGGAGCATATACGCCTTCGATTGGTGCAAGTGGAATGTATCGGGGAGCAACAGCGCCGGCAAGATGGCCGTGGGCAGTTACCTAGAAGACAACCACAACTTTGTAAGCAGTCATTTGGGAACGATGAGACCTCAACTAATGCGCTGTTTAGATTCGCATCCTCGACACGCAGATTGCGCCCCAAGACGTCTCCGCCCCTGGCGCAACCCCCTTTGGCCTTGAATACAACGCCATTGCCGAAGCCACATGTTCTTTCCCAGTCACACGCATGCTGTGGGAGCCTCCCTCGTCACAGAAACAGTCGACAGACCTCCTCGCAACGTCTGGCGACCACCTGCGCCTGTGGTCGCTACCTCAAGCCTCTGGAAACACAACGAGCAACACCATCACACGCTCATCATCCGTGAATACACGAGAACCTCAGCTTCCTAAGCTTACACCACTTGCGCTTCTCTCCAATTCCAAGACACCAGAGCATACCGCCCCGCTCACGTCCCTTGACTGGAACACTATGTCGCCAAAGCTCATCATCACCTCCAGCATAGACACAACTTGCACAATTTGGGACATTCCTTCTCTTACAGCAAAGACACAATTGATTGCTCACGATAAGGAAGTCTTTGATGTTCGCTTCTGCGCAGGCAGTGTCGACGTCTTTGTGAGCTGCGGTGCCGATGGAAGTGTACGCATGTTTGATCTGCGCAGCCTCGAACACAGCACAATCATCTACGAGCCTTCTGATAAGGGTGCTGATAGAGACAAGAGTGAGTACATGCTGTTTTCCTATGTATACGAGTAACTAACTTCAAACAGGCTCGCCAACTGGCCGCATGTCTCCGACCAAAGCACAGCAGACCATGTCGTATGCTCCACCGCTGCTCCGACTCGCCGCTTCTCCACACGACTCACACCTCCTTGCTACTTTTGCCGCCGACTCCAATCTCATCCGTATCCTCGATGTTAGACAACCCGGCCAAGCTCTGCTCGAGCTTCGCGGTCACTCTGCAGCTGTCAACAGTATAGAATGGAACCCTTCTCGGAGAGGAATGCTCGCATCTGGCGCCGACGATTCGCTCGTCTTGATATGGGATCTGCTACATGCAAACAATGGTGCTACAATCAGTGGTGAACACGCCTCAACACAACCCCCACCTCCACCTGCAAACTCACATCCCGCAAATGGCGCTGCAAACCAGCAGAATGCACCAGTCGGCCAAAAGGGTCCGTACGCTAGCTGGCGATGCGACTATGAAGTCGGCAACCTTAGCTGGGCTCCTCAGAGCGCACTGACTGGACAAGGCGGCGAATGGGTCGGTGTTGCTGGCGGACGTGGTATCTGGGGTGTCAAGTTATGATGAGTGTTTCAAATCGGGAATCCATGAGGGAGAAAAAAACCCCAGTGATGAAGGAAGGAAGGCCAATCATGTGACATATGAGCAAGGAGAGACGTTACGAAACGCCGTCTTGTAAATGACACTGCTGGTATGGAACAGCCAGACGAAGAAAGAAGAAAAACAAGTGCATAAACTGTTCATGTCTGGTCTGGTCTTTTTTGTTCTCCCAATGAGCAATCGTGTGTTTTCGGCGTTGGATGGTAGCGTTTATGCTTGCATGTGTATTTTACGTTTGATCGAGATACCTGAAAGTCTTATTCTCTTGAACTTTATACATCTCCTGGGGAAAATAAACTGGTACTTGAATGGTGACGTGTTGCAATCATGATGAGGAATATCAAATTTGAACCGATACACAGGTTGCACACATTCGAAAAAAAACCACTTCATTGCATATAAGAAACCCCCGCGAAACCTAACTCCGTCCCCCTAATCCCTCCATACTCCAAAATCCTTTCACTTCATCGAATAAAAACCTCAACAACAACCTCATTGCTCCACCCGGCCTTCGAATCCGTCTCCTTCCACGCCCTCACCGTATCAATCTCAAGCACATTCTCGCACCCTTTGCTTACACTGACACAATGTAGCGGGATAGGCCTGCCAAACAGGACGGCGAAGAAGTCATTTTCGATTGATCGACTAGGGAGATCTGAGATGTACAATCCTTTTTTTAAAAAAAATTTCACATTAGCACTCCACTTTTATCAAAAAAAAGGGAAGATTAGGTAGATAAGGGAACTTACCAAAGGTGCCCAAAACCTTCAAACTAGTCCAAACCCTGAGCCGTCCCGAACTCTTCTCGACGTAGGCGTCTGAATTGATAATCGCCGCCGCCCCCGTCATTTTACCCAGGACACCCAAATTCGCTACATCGATATGTGTAGGACCGCTCGCACTCAGGCCTTCGCCACGCTCCAGCGTAAACGACTGTAGCGGGAAGGCCGATAGAATCTCCCAGCCACGCACCGCAACATCAAGATGCACAAACGCTGCGTTGGTAGCTACGCTGGTGGGTTTGCTGACCTGGCCGTCTGTATGCGAGCGGATGATGTAAGTTCCTTTTTCTGCGCCGGGGAAAGCGTCAAGGGCGATGATTTCGGAGAGGGGTTTGGGGGTGCAGTTGAAGATGCCAAGGATGGGGACGCCGGTGTGTGCCCGTCCAACGTAGGTGCTGACTTTGAGGAGGACAGCGTCGTCGTAGGCGTTGTATGCGGAGGTACTTTTGCCGACGGTGTGGGGGCGGAGGATGACGGTGTCGCCGCGGGGGGTATTTCCCGTCATTTGATTGATGAGGTTGATATCGTGGTGGCCTGGTACATCAGTTATGTAGATGGGACCGCCGGAGACGCAGCGGCCTGCGGCGTGGAAAGCGGCGTAGTCGTGGCTTGTTTGGAACATGTCCCAGTCTGGGAGGATATTGAGGTACTGTGTCAGGAGCGAATTGTGGGCGTTGCAGAAGATATGCCAGGGGTGGCTGGCGGGGACTTCGGGGAAGAAGTCGTCCGAGTTGCGGAGGAGCATGCGGGGTTTGTTGGAGGGGAGTTGCGAGTGGAAGATCAAGGGGGGTGCTTGTGACATGCAGGATATGGCGCGGGCGGAGAAGTAGCGGAGTTGGGCAATGGACCAGGCGTCTTGAAAGGATTTGACGAGTTTGCGCCGGTCGTCTGCGTCGTGGAGTTCGTCAAGGAAGAATTGGGCATCTGTCTTTACGGAGTCGACGCCGCAGGAAGATAGGAATGCGTAAAAGTCTTTGTAGAAGCGGTCGACGTCTTCTTCGGCAACTACTATGATTTCACCGCCTGAGACTCCGTCTTTGAGTTTGACGGTTGTCGTTTTGTACTCTTTTGCAATACGTCCTTCGGGAGCTACACCACCCCAGTAGCCGAACATGGCATGCCAGACTGCGACGTGCTTGATGTGCTTGTACTTGTCTCGGATATGGCCTACTGTAGCCTTGAGACCGCGGGGGAAGCCATTCTTGTTGGCTTCAAACTCCATCCATGCATTGTCAAACTGATCTCCACCTTCTGTATTCAGTGACTGCCAATTATCATCGATGATGAGGTTGCTGATATTGATCTCGTTCTTTTGCAGAGATTCCAAGGCATCGAAGATTTTATCCTCTGTGAGTTTCTGGCCCAATCCATTCCAGGTACAGTATGACAATCCGTCGTACCAGTTTTCCAGCCATTGAGGTTTGAAGTCGTCGACCAGAGCCTTGGTCTCCTCATCGACCTGC